GTCCCGGGGTCAATTGATCACATGTTGCCACATCACGAGGATGATGACCGATTAGTTGAATGTATATAGATTGAGCCTGAGACAGACTAGAGGAAGACCCAGAGGAAGAGCCCGAGTTCAATGGTGATGAAGAAGAGTTTGAAGAAGACCCGGAGGAAGAACTGGAAGAATAAAAAGAGATGGGAAATGATTCTGGGGTTATAAGAAGTTGGTTGATTTCACCCTTTTTCTCACTTTGTATCATTATCCCGAATTGATTTCCCTAAAGGCAAGTTTGTTTGGGACCATGTAATCTTATTAATATTCAAAACAATGATGTAACCTTTGCTCTCGTCTGTTACAATCCAAACACTATCAATGAAACCAAAATTTGCTTCGGATATGAATGTGTCAAATCTAATTGTTTGTCAAATATTTGTGACTTAGGCCTACCTCCGGCAAAGAGAGGTCCCAAATTTTCTTTTCTTTTCATTTATTACTTTATTAATTATTCCCCAAAAGAAAGTTGGTTTATGTTGACCCAAAACTGGCAGAACGACCGTACAACTTGAGATCGAAATGGAAGCTGTCTACGCGAGATAACCCAACCGAACACACTCTGGTAATAGATGATACCCCAGGGCGATCGGGAGAGAAGGATGATATGTGGAATGATGAACACGTGGCTATAGCCCAAGATATGGAATCATTGAGGGAGGAAGTACGACACATTCGAGAACTGGCACATCCGGCCATGACGACTCTCCCACAACCACCCGGTTTTCCTTTTCTAGATTCAATCCCCGGCCACTTTCCTTCCACTACTCGCCAAGCAAACAATACCCCGACTTCAGTCCTTGCCACCCAGATTATACCCCCAGTAACCCCTACAAACTCACCAAACCCTCCCATACACATCCCTTACGTACCAACTTTCGTTCAAACACCTCAAACCCACCAGTTGCTTCCAACACAACTCATACCCCTCCTCGTGATAACATCACCTTTACCACCAGCCAAAACCAGCACATACCGCGGTCAGGTTCCTCCCGTATATGTTGTTTTAGAACCCACCTTTAGGACGCCCGTCACGATTAGGTTTCCTTATGAAGTTGATCAATATGCCGAAATGGAAAGGGAATATAAGTATAAGGAGGAAGAATCGGTGTCCGAATAATTATGAGCATTGAAAAACAAATGTAGAACCTTCAAGTTGCTTGAGGAAGTGAAAGTCTAGATTATGAGGATCAGTGTATCGACCCTGATGCGGACATGCTGATAGGGTACAAGCCTCCGAAGTTTGATATCTTTGATGGGATAGGTGATCTCCAATCGCACTTGAGAGACTACTGGGACAAGCTAGTTGGAGTGGGCAAAAACGAGAAGTTGAGGATGAAGTTGTTCATGAGGAGTTTGACAGGGGAGGCCCTTACTTGGTAAATTCGCAAAGATCCCCGAAACTAGAGGGAGTTGTATGATATGGTAGAAGATTCCACGATTGCTTCTAGTTCAACACAGAAATTACCCATGCCAGTTTTGCTCTAGTAAACTTGCAGAAAAAACCGTCAAAATCATTCCAAGAGTATGCACGTCGGTGGAGGTCGGAGGCCACCAGAGCACAATTTCTGCTAGATGATAGTGAGTTGGCTAAGCATTTCATCAGGGATTAGGAAGGGATCTACTTTGAGAAAATGATGGGCATGATGGGGCAGAAGTTCCCTGGACTTGTTAAAATGGGAAATTTTTTAGAGGAAGGTATTAAATCCGACAAGGTACAATCTATGGCCGCATTGCAAGCATCTAGCAAAGCAATCCAATCCGGTTCAATAGGCAGCGGAAAGAAGAAAAATGAAGAGGTATCAACAATCATTCCCTATTACTAGTCCAATCCATACCATGGAAACACCTCTTACTCTCCAAACACCCATTCCCCACACCTACACAACCATACTGCAATACAATCAACACCATGGAAACACCTCTTACTCTCCAAACACCCATTCCCCACACCCACATAACCATACTACAATCCCCAACCTAAATATAATCCACCTCGCGCCCATACAAATCTAAATCCACTACGAACCTATGCTCCAGTTGAAACTACCACTCATCAAAATCGACCCACCTATGCCCCCCGATCTTGCCCAAATTTTGAAGAATGAGGTCCCAAAAACTACACCCCGATTGCTAAACTTTTGGCTAGACTATTTGAAAGACAGAGGAGAGCAAGCTTGAAATATCCAATAGAAGGAAGGTTTCATGAGTATCATTCAAAATACTTTAATGCAACCAAACAGTGCGTCTACCAATCAAATGTACTAGAGCATGATACCAAAAAAAATTTCAAACTGAAAAATGAAGTTGAATCACTGATCAAAAGTAGAGCCAATAAATGCACCCCAGCTCCACCTAGTGTGAACCAAAACGCTCTGTCGAACCACCGGAATCAAAGAGCTAATATGATCACCCTGGATGAAGAATACGACCTGAATGGAACGGTTGTCATAATAGGGAACGCTTAGGCTGCAAGGGTCCCACCTCGAAGGCACCAATGATCACAGTACAATTAAAACCTACAATGATAGTCCAAACTTACCAGCAACAGTCCACCGCTACTCTCAGGGATGAAGAGGATCGAGAGTACAAGACAGTCCCGTGGACATATCAGTAGAAAGGGAAAGCCAAGATGACGGATTCCATAACGGCTCATGGAAAGAACAGGTCATGGAGGTGTTACGCTCCTGAGGATGTAAACCGAGAGAATCTAAGAAGGTAACAGATTCAGAGAAGGAATATAACATATCCGGAGGCTGCAGAATTCTGGAAGAAGATGTCAACCAAAGAATGCTCTATGGAGGAACAACTAAAGAAAACCCTGGCGCAAATATCAATCATGGATCTACTTATGAGTTCTGAAAGTCACAAAAACGCCTTGATGAAAGTGTTGAGTGGGGTAAGCGTGCCGAGCAACACTACCAGTGAGGCACTCGCAGAAACCATCAGGAAGATGGTCGAAGCAAATATGATCACTTTCTGAAGAGATGAACTTCCTATAGAGGGTGTGGGTCACAATAAAGCTTTACACATCACCATCAAATATGGAGATAGGGTAGTATCCCGAGTACTCGTTGGTAGGGAATCGGGAATTAATATATGCTCGCTCTCTACCCTACGAAAGTTGGGTATTCATTTGATATAAGTAAAAGAAAGTCATGTGAGGATAAGAGCTTTTGATGGGTCACAAAAGGATGTCATTGGAGAAATCTATTTGGCTATGCAAATTGGACCTGTTGAGTTTTCCATACTCTTCCAAGTGATGGATATTTCATCTTCATATAACCTGTTTCTAGGAAGACCTTGGATACATATGGCAGGGGCAGTCTCATCTACCCTACACCAGTGTATGAAGTTCAAGTGGGGTTCCGAGAGATTGTAGTCCATGGCATATGGAGCCAAAGCTTATCTGGAACATGCAGTTCCGTTCATAGAAGGATTAGACAGGGTCGCTTTCCATGTAGTTGAGATCATCCAGACCACGAAAATAGAAGATACTAAGAAACATATGGGAATGCAGTTACCATGCAGATCAAAGATGGATATGAGAGAAATGATGAAGTACGAATGCAGACTAGAAACCGGGCCGGGAGACCGATCAGACGGGATAACAGAGTCGATTGAGTCGAGTGAGCAGAAAGGTAGAGCCGGCATAATAAATCAACCTCCGACTAGGAAGACTTGTACCAGTAGCTTCGGGAAGAAAGCTTTTATACTAGAGCCTCTTTTGGGTATGGGTCAGAGCTCAACAAATGGAATGGAAAGGCTATTCGTGAGCACGATCGTGGAATGCTGTGAAATTTTTTATATCAAGACACCGACCATTCGGAATGCCGAACTAGGAGAGGACTTGCAGAATTAAACCGCCAGCCCTTCTTTGGTTCGCCGTGAGTCTTGGTAGTGTGGAATTGTATAACTTTTGAAAAAAGTGCACAGTCAATTGAGGCTTGAACCGTGTCTATACTTGAAAATTATTGCAAACTTGTTTATCGCTTCATTTATACCTAGTTTTTCTTTTCGGTAATCAAAACTACAAAAACCTGCATTTCGCGATTATGACATATAATGAAACCCTCGAGCAAAATGATCTAGATTATGAAGAATACAACGAAAGAATGATGCCAAATAATCACCCACAAGAGATCTAATAGCTGTAAAGCCAGAAAAATCCTGACCTCTAGGAGACAAAAGTAATCAACCTGGGAAACGAAGAAGACATGAAGGAAACCTGAATTAGCATCCATATGGAAGCAGAGCAGAAAGAGGAATTGGTTGAGCTCCTCCAACAGTACATCGGCATGTTCGAATGGTCATATGACGACATGCCTGGGCTAAGCTCTGACATCATTTTGCATCAATTGCCTACCGATCCTGGTAGACTGCCAGTCAAACAAAAAGCTAGAAAGTTCAAATCGGACCTTAGTATGAGGATAAAAGAAGAAGTAACCAAGCAAATAGAGGCAAAAGTAGTAAGGTAGTAAGGGTCACCAATTATCCCACATGGCCATCAAATCCTAATGCATGATGAAGATGTAGAGACAGCATTCACCACGCCTTGGGGAGTTTACTGCTACAGAGTCATGTCATTCGGCCTTAAAAATGTCGGTGCTACTTATAAGAGGGCCATGAAAACCTTCTTTCATGACATGATTCACAAAGAAATGGAGGTATATGTGGACGTCGTCGTCATTAAGTCTCAAAAGAGTTTAGAACATTTAGACGACTTGAAGAAGTTTTTCGAATTTTTGCGGAGGTATAGTTTGAAGTCGAACCCTGCAAAATGCGCATTCGGAGTCCCTGCTAGAAAATAGCTAAGTTTGATCGTAAGCAGGAAAGGGATAGAACTGAATCCTTCATAGATTAAAGCCATTCAAGAGTTGCCACTGCCCAAGAGCAAGAAGGATGCAGTCCACAGTAATTTGTGAACCTATCTTCAAGCTACTGAAGAAGGATGCTGCTTCAAAATGGACAGAGAGTGTCGGAAAGCCTTTAACAAGATTAAGGAGTACTTGTCAGATCCACTAGTAGTGGTTCCTCCCGAGCATGGAAAGCCATTGTTGTTATACCTGTCAGTTTTGGATAGTGCATTTGGATGCATGTTTGGACAACACGATGAGACTGGCAGAAAGGAGCAAGCTATCTATTACTTAAGCAAGAAGTTCACACCATGTGAGGTCAAATACACTTTGATAGAGCGCACTTGTTGTGCCTTGACTTGGATCGACCAGATATTGAGGCATTACATGTCAGAATACACCACGCTTTCAATATCCCGGCTCGACCCGCACAAGTATATCTTTCAGAAGTCGATGTCTACAGGAAAACTGGTCAATGGCAGATACTTCTCAGCGAATTTAACATTTTGGACATAACACAGAAGGCTATCAAAGGACAAGCCTTAGCTGACCACCTTGCAGAGAATCCAATGGACAAGAATTATGAGCCACTCACTACATACTTCCCAGAAGAAGAAGTGTTATTCACCGGAGATGATATTGCAGAGTCATACCTAGATTTGAGAATGTTCATCGATAGAGCACCAAATTTCAAAGGAGTAGGAATTGGGGCACTCCTAGTTTCAGAATCAGGACAACATTACATGAGATTAGCAAGGATAAGGTTCCCTTGCACCAATAATATGGTCGAGTACGAAGCATGCATCCTCGGGATTAGGATGACGGTTGACATGTACATCAAGGAGCTTCTAGCCATAGGGGATTCCGATCTGTAAATATATCAAGTTCAATGAGAATGGACTACAAAGAAGTCAAGATCCTTCCGTACCTGCACTGTGTAAAAGAGCTATGCAAGAAGTTCACAAAGATCGAGTTCAAGCACATTCCCATGATCCAGAACGAGTTTGTCGACGCTCTCGCAACCTTGTCAGCCATGATTCAATATCCAGATAAGAATTACATCGACCGTATCAAGATAGAGACCATGGATCAACATGCGTACTATTTTCATATAAACAAAGAGCCAGATGGTAAGCCGTGGTACAACGACTTCAAAAGGTTCCTTGAATCAAGTGCTACTACTAATCAGAAGCGAGCGCTTAGAAGCCTGACAAATCACTTTTTTCTCAACGGGGAAGTCTTATATAGGAGGACACCGGACTTGGGTTTATTAAGATGTTTTGATGCGGTTGAAGCAACCAGATTGCTAGAAATGCATGCAAAAACGTATGGACCACACAAGAACGGCTTCACCTTAACCAAGAAGATTTTAAGAGCCGGATACTTTTGGATAACCATGGAAAGCGATAGTATCCCATATGTGCAGAAGTGTCACTAGTGCCAGATCCACGGGGATTTCATCCGGGTTCCGCCTAATAGTTGAATGTAATGGATTCGCCTTGGACGTTTTTCGATAGGGGCATGGACGTAATCGGACCTATAGAGCCTGCTGCATCAAATGGGCACCGTTTTATCGTGGTTGGAATTGATTACTTCACCAAAGGGGTCAAAGCTTCTACAAACAAGGCCGTCACGAAGAAAGTAATGGCAGATTTCGTCCGTAACAACATAGTTTGCCGGTTCGGGATATCCGAGTCAATCATCACTGACAATGTACCTAACCTCAATAGAGATATCATGAGAGAAATATGTGAGAAGTTCAGAATCTTCCACCGTAACTCTACAGTCTACATACCACAAATGAATGGAGCCGTTAAAGCATCCAATAAAAACATCAAAAAGATTCTACGAAAGATAGTGTACAATCAAAGGCAATGGCACTAGAAATTATCCTTCGACTTACTTGGTTATCGGGCCACCATGAGGACATCGACTGGGGAAACTCCATACATATTGGTATATGGCACTGAAGTTGTGATACCCACAGGGGTCGAGATACCATCTTCAAGGGTCATTCAAGAGGCCAAGTTTGACGAAACAGAATGGATACGAGTCAAGCAGGAGCAACTCATACTCATTGATAAGAAGAGAATGGATGCAGTATGCCATGGTCAGCTTTATCAAAAAAGGATGGCCAGTGCGTTCAAAAAAAGAGTGAAGCCTCGCCAATTTATATCGGCGTAGCTGGGTTTGAAGAAAATATTCCTCATCAAGAAGAAGCCAAAGGAAAGTTTGCGCTGAATTGGCAAGATCCTTACGTGGTCCACCGAGTGTTGTCGGGAGGAGCTTTGATCTTGGAAGAGATGGATGGAAGAGTCAACACGAAGCCTATCAACTCAAGTGCAACCAAGAGATACTACGTTTCAAGATAATAGAGTTAGGTTTTGGTTGTAATAGAACTACGCACGACCTGATTTCCCATAGAGGGATACGTAGGCAACCCACGTAGGGTCCAGTTTCTCTCTCTCCCCCTCTTTTGTGATAGAAAATCCAAATACCATTTTATATGAACTTAGAACTAATCTACAACCTGATTTACTTTGGAAGGAATAAGTAGGCAATCCTCATCGGATTCAGTCATTTTTGTAATTGAACTACGTTCTAGCCTGATTGCATTTGGATACGTAAGCAGTCTGAGTCAGACTCGTCCACTTTATTTCCAATCTCATCTTTTTGCATCTATTGTAATCAAACTACGTTTTGATCTTATCCATTTGGAACGTAGGCTGCCTGGGCCAGGCTCGATCATCATCATCATATATTCTTTATCATTACCCACGAACTATGTTTAGACCTGATTCCATTTCGGATATGTAGGCAACCTGAAAGGGTTCAGTCATAACCCTAGGAAAAACTTTGTAATGTGTTAGTTTAGATTAGGACGCAATCGCAGCATCAAGAATCCATGTCATCAGAAGCATTTTGGAGGATCAACATCAACGAAATGAAATCTTGTAGAAATAACGTTCGCGCTTGAAGGACTTTCTAAACATGTCATAACCCGGAATGACGACATTTTCCGTAAAACAAAAGATTTTCAAAATGCTTTCTAAAATATCCTAATTCGTTCCACCTACCAAACTTCATGGCGTAACTTTATCAAGATCGAGGAAAAGCCAGGACTACGGTCGACACAAACCAACACCCCCTCCCTGCTAAGAACTTTTTTTGAGGGGCGGTCCATTTTTGGCTATACATACATTTTCACAAATAAACTGTCCAAGACTAAATTTGAGCGCAGGACCAACGGAATACAAGGAAATGCTAGATCACACTAGGGCCATGATGGGTCCTACACTCTCTCATAACTATCATCCCTTTTTCCTTATTAAAGTTTTCCCTTACATATAACTGCAACTAACTCTTAGATCCTTTTCACGTATTTCAGAACTAGACTGCCGATGCAGGAAGAGCATATTGTATATAGCAAACCATCTGCTTAACTAAATGAAACATGTTGTATATAACGAGCCGCAAGCCCCACCAACCGGAGCCATGTATATATCATACAGTCAACTCAATCAATCAGAGCGACCTGTACAAATCAAGCTGTCGGCTTCGCCAATCGAATCCCTGTATATAGCAAAACAGTTCGCTTCGCTGACGGGAGCGTTCCTCACCACCACTCTGCCACATCGGAGATCAGAGTAGATAACTGCAAACCTCGTCACCAACATTCTGCCAATCGACGACCGCAATTTAGTTTCACTGTCAAGAGTACCTCTTAGACATGCTCCTTATTCTTTATTGTTATTTTGAATGTTTTGATGTTTTGCTCATGCAATATACATGCATGATTACGTTTTTCAAGTCAGAAACTCCCATTACTTGGAGATACTTTACATTTCAATGCAACCACTCCCATCACGCGGAGATACTTTACATTTCTATGCAACTTCTCCCATCAAGTGAAGATGAATTCCACATTTCAAGTCAACTACTACCATCGCGCGGAGACACTCCCAACACGAGGAGACTTAATGCTCCAACAGATGCGGAACAGTACACAGCCGGCTAGCAATCGAGTCAAATTCATATATCCCGTCATCACAATCCCAATTACCAGCTAGCCGACAACTATGTATTATCGTTCCTGCATCATTTACATCATACCTTAACATATTCTGCATTTCAATATATGGGTATTGATAAGTGGGGATTTTGACTACTTATTAGTGCCTTTTAACTTTCATTTTAGTCCAAAAACGTTTAATTGTATTCCCGAAAACTGATGAAATATGCTTAATTGTAGGAGTATTAGAAAATGAGACACTAAGATGAAATCCAACTCAAGAAGGAGTGATCTGAACTCAAGAAGAAAATCAGGCACATAAGCTCAAAGTGCGGAACGTAGATTTCCATCTGCGGCCGCAGATTGAGAAGGAAAGTTTATCAGAGTCCAAGTGCAAAGTGCGGTCCGCACATGAAATGTCTGGCCGCAGAAGCTAACAAGGAGCAGAAGTTCAGAGAGTTCTCAGTTAAAGATTAAAGGAAGTGCAGACCGCACAATTATTGTGCGACCGCAGAAGTCAGCTATGTGGCCGCACTCAGAAATTTGCGGTCCGCAGAAGAGCCCTATGTGGCCGTACCCAGAAATGTGTGGACCGCAGAATATGAGAGATGCGACCGCATTTTAGAAGTGTGCAGCCGCAGATTCAACTCCTGTCAAGATTGAAGCAAAGTGCGGACCGCACATGGAATTGTGTGGCTGCACAACCTCCAAAAGGGCATTTTTTATCCGAAAATTCCAGCTTTGTATAAATAGAATAGTTTCACAAAATTATGTTATGTGTTGAATATTCAAAGTGCTGTAGCCTTTTCTTCTTGCTTCTTTAGGTAACTTTAGTTTATTTTTGTGATTTAACATTGGTTTTTTATCTTTTATTCTTTTAATATGAGTTTTATTTTCTTTTCTTCTTTGTTTTCTTCTATACCACTATGAGTAGCTAGATTTTTACTAGGCTTTTGACCCAACCCTAGTATGTATACCTTATGGGTGATTAATTCTATGCTTGTTTATGAATGGGCGTTTGTTATTTAGCTACGTTATGCTTCAATTTTGAAATTAACGGTTGCAAACATTGATTTATGCCTATTTGAATTAGTCTGTTCTTGAGAGAGAGAGACCTAGTCTAGGTTAACTTAGCTAAAAAGGAGTTGGGTCAGTTGAGAGATAGATGAACCAAATTAAAGGGTTCAACCTAGAGATAGTAACAACCCGACTTGAGCTCTTATCAACCGTTTTAGTAGATACCCATTTGGTCTTGAGAAAGCCAAATTGGGCAAAACCACTCTCTGACCGAGAGGTTTGAGTGGGCAACGTAGTGTTGGGAGCTATAACACACCCCAGTCAATAAAACAACATAAAAGTCTTTATCCCATTAGGCAAACACCTAGGTCATGGTCACGGCCCTAGGCCTTTTTATTTCTTTGAAAAACAATCAAAAACAATCTTCTCTAGTTTTATATCTTTAAAATTGCAATCCTTAGCATAATTTTAGAAGTAAAAACAAAACTCTATTTGTGGAAGTGAAATCTAGATACTTCACATACTCACTCCAAATATATACTGTTAATTCCCATCTTCTCTCCCTATGGATTCGATCCCGACTCCTTGGTACGTTTTATTATTGCAAACGACCGTGTCATACCTCATTAGAGGTGTGCATTTAGATGTGACCAATTTTTGGCGCCGTTGCCGGCGAGCTAAAAATGAATTTAGCCATATATTTGGTTTTGTGTGTGAATTGTCCTCTTTTCCTTTCGTGTTACTAATCTTCTTTGTTAATCAATTATAGGTGCAACAATGGCTCTCAACAACAACGATCCACTCGGAAACATGCCTATGGGGGATGTGGACGTTGAGGACGACAAAGTTGAAGAGGTTCCTCTTGAACCTCAAGCAAATAGAAGAGCCCGACAGCCTCAAGACAACGTCCCACTCCTACCACCACCAAGAGCGGCTCCACACCGGGTGTTGCCGAATGAAGGGTATGCAAGTGCCATAGTCCCGCCCCGCATTAGGGCGGGCAACTTTCAATTCACGAATATTATGCTCACATTGCTAGAGCAACATGCATTCTTCCCAGGGGCATTGAGTCAAAATGCATACAAACACCTGAAGGGGTTTGTGGACACTTGTTGGGGGAGTAAACAGACAAATGTCTCCGAGGATGCTTTAAGGTTGAGGCTATTTCCTTTCTCTCTACGGGGAAAGCCTTGGATTGGTTAGAGAGACTGACAAACCATTCCCTCCATACATGGGACAAATTAGTGGAGAAATTTATTTACAAGTTCTTTTTTCCTAGGCTTATGGCTACTCTTAGAGACGAGATTCTAGCATTCAAACAAGAGCCCAATGAGTTGTTGCATGAAATATGGGAGAGGTACTGAACTATAGTGAAAGAGTGCCCAAGTAATGACATGACGGAGGCTATTAGTCAACAAAATTTCTATCGAGGGATCATTACTACCAATAAATGCGTGGTCAACCAACTTTCCGGTGGAAATTTCATGACAACGCCATATACGGAAGCGTGTAATATTTTAGATGAAATGGGGGATACTTCATCGACATGGAAAAGTAGAGCGAATGTTCATCAAGGTGATCCAAATGTGATTCACCTACATAAAGAATTGCATTTTCATGGGCAAGCGATTGCCGAGTTGACCACCACAATGAATCAATTAGCCAAGGCTCAACTTCAATAAGTGCAAGGTCCTAAGCAAGTTAATGCAATGGAGGGAGTTAGTATGATGGTAAACAAGAGAAGGCAAAAGGGTCCACAAGTGCAAAACCGTGTGGAAAATTATGTGCAAGAAGACAGTGAGTTTGATAAAGATGTCACGCCCGAGCCTGGGGGCGAGACCGGCACCCGATGCCT